AACTTAGGTGTCATGATTTCAATGCCATGTGACCAGTAAACATCACCTCCATTTATCGTATTCAAACACTTACTTTGGTTTCAAAGGCATAATTATCTGCAATTTAAAAACTTTAGCAGTCAAATTTTTTATATCTTATTTTCCATGTAAAACCTCAAATACAGAATTATATTGCATCAAGTACAACATTCCATCAACTTTTTTTTCTTTCCTCTACAACAAGTATAGAAATAGATTTTTTTTTTTTTTGCCCCCAAATGCCCAGTGTCACTGTCTAAATACTTATCAAGTCTAATAGGTTAGACTGAACTTTTAGCAGAAAATGCTTTTAATCCTTTTGGTACAAGGGTGGCTTTCTGCAGCCACCAGCTGCAGCTCTGAAAGCACTTGAAAGGTGTCATTCTTTTTTGATAGCAGCTTGTGTGATAAATATGCCCATTGATAGCAAAAACCTGCAAGCAAACCTTTCAACTGATGCCGTGTAAAACCCATAATTGCTTATTAGTTCTTTGGCTCATTTCAGATAAGTCTCTCCAGCCTTCCCCCCGACTCCCAGTCACAAGGTTTGTAGTGCAGAGTGGTTTGGGTTGAGCAGACAGACTGGAGAGCCACAAGTGCCCTCTTCTGGATATCCAATGCTACTCAAATTTATCCATGGACCAGCACTGAGGACTGATTCGTGACCAGATGTCTCAAACACTCTCTGCTCAAGTGTTTTGCATTCTGTATCCCTTGTCTGAAAATGAAAAGATTTCTTGAATTGTAAGCTTTTTAGTGAAAGCTACACAGACTAAAGAGCATTAGCCAAATAGCTTAATAAGAAAATACCTAGCTGTGTAATTTAGGAAAGATTATCTCCCCATCATTTATGGGCAATGTCTCTGTCAATGTGTTTCTTAACTGAGTACAGAAAATGCATCTTTATTCCTATGATTTTCAAGCATTATTTAGATTAAGAATGGTCCTCCTTTTTCCTCCAAGTCTGACTTTTTTTTTTCTATTTTTTGGTCTTATATAATCAATAAGGATAATCTATATATAAAGGAAAACATTAGAATGTCAAACCTCAACCATTAGTACATCTTACACCTAGCTACCACTCCTCAGCGAGGTAGATAAAGTTTCTCAATTCCCATCAATTCCCATCTGTGCTGGGAGTGTTCACAGGTCTGAAATGCACCAAACCACATCCATAAATCAGTATGTCCCTAAACAGAGATTCAATATATTTCTTATTTATTATATTTCCTTCATTTGACAATCCAGGCATACACATTCACATGCATTAAAATATTAAAGATGAAAATTGAGAAAGGTCTTAAGCCTGAAAGTCCACGTAAATGAACTCAAATAATAAATCATTCTTTTATTTTATTTTGCTCTGCTCATATTTGTTATACCAGTTAATGTTACTGTCTGTAGGTGATTGGAAAATATGAAGTGTAGATGATGCCAGAAAGCAAAGAAGAACTAGCCATTGTGGACGTGGTAGCAACTGTGGAAATGCCAACCTACTTCATGTGTAAACACTAACAAGGGGAAACTAAGGCATTTGCCATCTTCCTCTTGTCTGGCACACAGATCTATTTGCAGATGTATGGCACCTATTGATCAGGACTTGCACACAGTTATTTTCTTGTTATCTCAACAACAGGTGTGCTTATAGCAGGAAAAAAAAAGCCCCTCAATTATCTATGTCTCAAAGACATAGATAATTTTTTGTAACATATCAAATTCTGCAGCTTCTTGGATCAAATAGCTTCCTCATTTTTTTTAACCTCTCTAGATCTCTGAACTAACTTCAATGGCTTGTGCTGCTTTTTAGTACATGTTCATCTAAAGAAACTCATTAACATGCTGGCTATATCATTTGCTAATCACTAATGAACATATTAAATTAGATCAGACGTAAAATTGATCTCTGTGACATCTCACTACACACCTCTTGCCCTCCACATCCCAGCTCAATACACTGCTGCTTATCATTATCTTTTATTTACGTTCAGTCTTTTAGACATTTTTCAGCTTCTGTGTTGAGTCAATTTACAATAATTTTTCAATGAGACTTTGCAAATCACTATGTTATGAATTTTTACTATCACAATACTTCATTAGACTTTACATACATTAAGCTTCCTGTATCACTGGTTTTTGTCTGTTATTTACCAGATGATGTAGAAGTTACTTTTGCCTGCTATTCTTCATTCTTTCCTTATCCTATCACTCAGTAAGCTTTGAGAGCTTGCAAAAGCGACATCTGTTTTCATATACTACCAAGACTTAAAGTTAAGACTCTTGCACAGTGCTGTAATCATTAGGATCATGCTTTCCACCAGCAATATATTTATCCCATCTCAGTGACAGATTCTCAGTTCTCCATGACTTTCATAAGTCATTACAGGTGGTTTGGTCACTACCCATTTATATCCTGAGATACATATGCTCGGAACAGCCAATCTATGCTTTTCCTCCCAACCTTCTGGTCCTATCCCCATCATATTTTTTTTCATCAGTTCTGATTTGCTTCCTTGCTACAACCTTCCTTTGACAAAAAAGCAATAGCCTTTACATATACTGCAATATACTAAGCCCCTTCCTTTCTTCTTTTTTTTTCCCACTGGTTTTATGCTGCAGTTAATAGGAATAGTAATAAATTGTCTTCCTTTCTACAGAAAAAAAATGCCGGATTTATATATACCTGCTTAAACATCATTTTAAAATCCACTGATACCCAGCACAAATCACATGGCACAATTCTGAAGAGAAGGCTTTTGTCTGGTCCATTTGTAAAACAAATACTACCAACATTTCTAAAAAAAATTTCTGATTAACTAGAGCTTTTTTATAAATCTTTTAAGGAATCTTAATTGAATATCTGAGGAAAGATATATTGCTCTTTCAAACTATCTAATAATTATCAAGGAGATAATCAATACTTTGATACCAAGCTTGCATTATTTGTTATTTCAGAATTGGTCAGAGTGATTAAATTTTTGGTATGTGGGAAAAGCAATTTTTGTGCAACAAAGATCATATACATCCTTAAGGAAAAACTAATTATAATCCAGGTCTAATTTTATGTATGAGATTTCAGGGAATAGTATTAAGTTCCTGACACCATAGAACTGATTTATCAGATAATATGCAAGAAAGTTTGTAGTAAATATGCCTTTGAAAGGCAAAACTCAGGAAAGAATTATGTCTTTTATATATCTAGATATCCAGCACATTATGTCAAAAAGAACTTGTATCTTTTAATGGATTATAATTATCATTTAGTCATTAATAAAATGCTACTAACTGTAGGATTTAAAATACATCCAAACAAAAAAAAATTATCACTGATGAAATATATTGTAAGTACACAAGACAAAAAGCACAAAGATATTTTGTTTCCTGTATACAGCAAAAAACACCAAAACAAAAAAGAAAAAATCCTGAAACTACAAAAATGATTTTCAAAATAATTTTATTCAGCTAACTTTATGGTCAAGAGAAAATAATTCTTAGCAGTCTGGTGGAGAGAATTATGACAGGTGCCCAAATGCAAGCTGCCTTTTCAGCTCTTTGTAAAAAGTTGTCACACAGGACAGGGGACACTGGAAAAGTCTGCACTCTCCTGTGCAGAGCCATACCAGGAGCTCCAGCACATGAGAATGGCAACAGACCTTTATGTATCAGAAGCAGATAACAGAAGGTGAGATCGAACTAGATGCCTTTGCTTCAGATGGCTAAAGACAGGTGAAAGTAATTTAATTCCTCATATATTACTTCATATAAGCAAAGCAGAAGAGGAATTTAACAATTTTGAAGACAAATGCAGAAATTTGCATTGAAGACAAATGCAGAAATAGCAGGAATGTAATTTTCAATGTGAAGGTCTGTAGAAACTTGCATAAAGTTTTGGGTATTGTTGCATGGAAGTCTGTTTTTAGGGTGCTTTGAGGCCAGTATAGATGTAGAAATTCAGGTTGAATTTAATGATAATTTTAAACAATTGAAAAAAATATCTCTTTGAATGAGTATTTTTGTTAAAGAACTTCTTCCTTGGAGGGAAGGCTATAAATGAGTAGAGAAGTTACCATTAGATTGTTGGAATATAAATTTTATCTATTTACATTTCCAAACTCCTTTTTCTGTTTTTATTAAATTCTTTTTCCCCATGTTTTGCTTTCCTTATGATCACAATTTGACATGCAGCTGATTTTCATTTTAAGCTGTTTATAGTATTCCTCCAACTTTCATCTGTTATTTGCACTTCTTGTGATCTCTTTGGAGAAAGGAACAAGTATTCCCATCTTCACAAGCAGCACCGTGAGTATTGTGGGAGCTACCTGAATAAGCACTAATAATGACAAGAGTAATAATTTAGACTGTTTTCTCTTATCTGGTCTATCAGAATCAGTTCACCCATACAACATTAGTACTTCACTATCATCCACCAATGATCTGCCAAAATATTTAACTTAAAAACTGATAAGCATGTCTTGGCTGCATGCACACTGAAGCATTAAAAAACTGGAAAGCAAGCTGTATGCTGCCTATTTTATTTATGCGCAGACATGGAGCACCATTATGAGGGTCATCATCAGCATTTCTCACACTCACTAAGATTTTGGCCAGGAAAATCAGTATCACATAAAAGCAGTCACCTGTATTTGCAGATACAAGATTTCAAACAAAAGACTGCATAAAAAGACCTAAAATTTGAAGTCAATAACAAGCTAAGGAATTCTGTGAAACTGAGCATGGTAAAAGACAACAGATCAACAGTTAAGTTCCTGAGTGCATAGAAATAATAATCTAAAACCTCTATCGAAAGTCCAGAACTGAAAGTGACAACATAAGGAAGAGTCATCCCTGATGTTTCTCTGAAGCCACCAGCTCAACATACAGCAGGACTCCAAGTGAAACAACTGCAGCACTCCCTCAGGAAAGGTATTAAGAATAAGTCAGAAGAATATAGTTTAAACCACCCCACTGCCCCCCAAAAAACCTACCTTATCCAGAGCAGCACATGCAACACCACATCTCAGTTGAGTTAGACTCCAAAGCACAGGGGACCCAATGAAGTAGAGACAAAGGCAACTACAAAGAAAAAAGGTTTGCAGCAACTGCCCTACAATGAAAGATTAAGAAGGCTGAGACTCCTTAATTTGGAGGCAACAGCACAAAAGCAACATCACATTTACACTTCAAAATTTTCTGAATCTAGTGAATGACTGCAAACTATTATTCACTAAATGAATAACGCTAGAACTAAGAACCACTCAATAAAGCTAGCAAGGGATTACATTAAAGGAGATGAAATAAAATATCATAAAGAGACAACAGTACTGTTTATATCTTGTTGCAATATATCAAGATTGTGGAGGTAAACTGTAACACTAAATTAAAAAATACACTACAAAAACCAAACAAATCAACCGCAAAATAATCCGCATCAAAACAAAACAAAAGAAAAAATCCCAAAAAACAACCTTTACAAGGCACAGAAAGAGAAGTTAAAAGATAAGAAAGATCTAACCTGCCAATGTTCCTGAAAATGCAGTTCATGGGCAAAAAAACCCAACAAACTAGGAATGCTATTCCCCAAATAGCACTTCTCCCTATTCTCAGCTGGAGAACATTAAGTTGGATGGTCAATTGCTGTGACTCAGCTGGGCCTTCTTATGCTTTTATCCCAAGAAATTCTATTCTTTTGTTACAAGAATGAAAATGCAGTTATTAGTAATGCAAACACATACTTATTGGGCAGTCTGTTAACTGAGATAATATACAGTACTTCAAAATTAAATGTCAGAATTTACTTACTACAAGGAATAAAAACCTAACAGAAAACACCCAAAGCATTTTTCAAAGAATAACCTGGAAGGATTGAAGGAATGAGTGCACCCTGTTTACTGACATGACTATACACCTACAAAAAGTCAGTCACAGCTATTCCTGACTTTTAGGGACATCATATTAAGGACTTTGAAGTAACTGAAGCCAACGAGGTTTTTCTTTCAAAAGAAAAAAAAATCATTGTCTATACTTGTGATATGGAACTGCAGTGCTTTCTCAGAAATAAGTATTTTCAAAGGGACAACAACTGCCAACCTAGTGAAGAGAAATATGGAAAAATTACATTCAGATAAAAATTCTGGTCTCTTATCAGGGGTAAAAAATAATAAACAATTTTTGTCCAGGTCATCAATATATCCCAGTTTTTCAGGTCACAAATATTTCCTTTACTGATTTCAGCACTCACCTCTTGCTAAGGGTATTCTCTTTTGGTTCTCCCGTTAAAACCAACCAAACAAGAAAAACAATAACAACACCAAGGCTCCATTAAAGAATTAAGTATTTGATTGTAAACTTTTGACTTCTTATCTATGATGCTCAATCTCTTAGAAGGTACTTTTGCTTATAGACACTAGGTTGAATCCACTTCAGCAGCACTGGCTTTTGACTGTTGGAACTACAGAGCACAGAACCACTCACTATCTGTTTGCATCTGAAGTCATTAAAAGTGGAAAACAGAAAACTCTGTGTCAGGATCCAATCCTGCAGATTGCTGGCTGACTTTGTGTTCTCTCTGGAAAACAGTTTTATTCACTTACTGGAATCTATACATATTCAAACTCATTAAACTATTTTAGTTCTAAGTACTAAATCTAGCAGAAGTCTCAGGTCCACATGCCTGGTAGAAATACTCAAGCTCAAGTGCTCCTTTAGAGCTGGTGAAATCAAACTCTTGCAGTCAGACCCTTGGAAAGTCAGAGTACACAAAGTGCTAAAGTCAAAAAAAGCCTAGGAAGCCTAAAAGGACAAAGCCCAAATGTTGTGGTTGGATATGAAATTAAAGCTAAGAAAGGTCCATTAAATATTCATCAATTCTTAAATGAAGGTGGATCCTTAAATTCACTAATTCTACTTGTGTGTGCATAGAAGATTTGATTTCAATCACTCAGATATCCTGACAAATTCTGTAGGTCATGAATTCTAATGTGTAGTAATTGCACTATGGCACAGACATAAAACCACATATTAAATACTAATTGAAATTAGGTTGAGTCAGAACATTTCTAGAAAAACAGGTTCCATCACTGAGCTTAACACTGAAAATTGCACTCTTTCACGCCAGCACACCACACTAAGGAAATTGTCCTTTAGCTTTATTTTTAATTTAAATATGATCCAGATAGCAGGCAATACAGACAAAGACTTGGATTATACTATTTGATTCTGGAATTCCTAAATTTCAAATGAAAAGTTAAAAGAACAAGCCATTTGAGAATGCTTTATTTAATGAACAGTCCTATGCCACTGGTTAGAATTTGGCAGTTAAACCATCAGAAATCACTGAGCCAGCATATAATTAGGATGGAAATGCAGCTATGCATAATGCCCATAATTAGGCCTATGAAAGCTGAAACAAGCAAAACCATTAAATCAGTCAATGTTTAAATCAGATGGTCAGTGCACCTACTCACTGAATTGTTTGCACATGGTTTCTGAGGTCCATAGGTGAACTGCAGCTCGTACATACTGTGCAGGCATTTTGCAGGAAAGCACACTTTGTTAGCTCCTACTCTGAATTAAGATTATCACCTACCATGTCCCAAGTACTGTAGCAGTACACTGCAAAGATAGCACAGCACACTGACCTGGCTAGTAGCTTTTTGAATAAAATAGAAAATAAAGAGCGCAAGTTTACAAAAATACAGCCAGTTAGTGCATACCATCTACTATGTATTAATGTTTTAATGTCTTGAGTGTTTGTTGCAGTGAATTGACTTTGTATACCTTTAGCAATTATCCATTTTATTTCCATGTTCCAGTTTCTTTTGTGTGCTTCCATGCTTCAGTAATAATTTTTAAGTTCAGTGATCAACAAAGCTCACCTCAGCATTTGCCCTTTCACAACAAACACATGACACTATCTCCAATGCAGCTGGACAATTTCATTAGAGAAGATCTGGGGATTTTTGTCTGAAGTTTTTCTACATGCAACACACAAGAAGAAATTCTTTAAACATACCCATATACCCATTTGTGTCAAAATCCACTTCCAAATTCCGGCCAAGTTTTAAAAAAAAGTTATTCACAACACACTAAGGGTTTTACTTCTATTTCTGCCATGGGGAAACCTGATTACTCACCAGACTTGTGACATTAAACACAAAGATTTGCAGAAGAGAGTCTGACGTCCCAGGACTCTCAATTCTGACATTAACTGTATTCTTATCTACCTTTTCCTGACAAACAATACCTGAAAAGAAAATAGTTTTAAGTATATCGACTGAATAACACATGCTGAGAAAGAAAGAAACAACACCCAAAGCCTGTCTAATTGGATATATTAAAAAACTTTTTCACTGTGAGGACAGTCTCTAGCTGTTGCATTTCCACCAAAACTTCAATATAAAGTTAATATATTTATTTTTTTCAGCCCACTTGGGAGTGAAGGGAAACACCATTTACAGCTCAGCCACAGGTATCATGAGCACAGATACCAGAGCATGCAACACATTCCACAGTTCCTGTGTTGTCCTGACCAAATCAGTCCAATTCCTTTGGTCTAATTCCTCCAATTCCTTTGGAGGAAATCTGTTTATCTGCTTTATGCCAAAAATCAGGAGGCAGACTGTAATACTGAAATTGAAGTAGCAGGAACATAGAGTCCTTCTGACATGGTAAAAAGCTCAAGAATTATGCCTGTAGCTATCCATCTGGTATTTAATCCAAGTAATCTAAGTTGATTGTTCTTTCACAGCTTTTGTAAATCTACCTCTATATGTCCCTAAAAAAAAAAATCTTAATACAGCACCCACCTGACACAGACAGACAGTACTTCATTAATTTCAATGTGTTTAATGTGTTTTAATACGTTAGCCCTGCAGCAATGGTATTCAGTTAGGAAAGATTCACTCTCTTAATGCCTTACATATTTTCTCAGCTCATAAAGTGCTACACAGTACTGCAGGGAGCATACTGTAGAGTTATTAAATGCTATTATTAAATATGTCATATTATTGCTGAAATCTGTACAAGGCAAGAAAACAGATAACCCTCAATATTTGAACTTTAAATATTATACAATATTTCAGTAGTTACATTTTCACTTTGTGATTCCAAAATGTCTCCATAGCTAGAACCTACATATAATCACAACCCAAGATGAATATATTACAGTAAATGTGACAAGTTAGATGATAACTGTGGTGTTACGGTGTAGGATTTACAGTCATGATATGAATGCATTATGCACAGCGATAGTTGTCATAATTTATTCATAATTTCAGGAATATTATGAAAAATGTAGAGACACTTAAAAATCAGATCAATGATATGTGCATCGCTCAGTAGTTGAAACTCATATTTACTGTGCATTCCAATTTGCTTTAGTGAATTATTTTGTGGAGGGCCAGATTCCAAAATAGTAGCAGTTTTCTTGCTTCTTTTGTCATTTCACTGAAGCCCTCATAAAAGTTTGGATTCTCTAAGATCTTTTACACCCTCTTCTAGTAAAAATCCAGAATTTACTGAGATTATGGATTAAGAAGATTCCTGTGGAAATAAAAACTTAAAAACCGCATAGATTTATATTAATTATTAGAGAAGTCAAGGCAGTGTTACTTTCCATGCTCCCTGTTGTCAAGACTTGGCACCACACTAGAAGATGCCATGTCAGCCTCCTGGCTACATGACCAAAGAAATAAATGCTGCCCAGGGATAAATGGTGCACATTGTACCACACAGTGCAGTGCGCCACCTCCAAAGATATCATCCTGGGTTCTACATGGACTGTGTGAACTTAACTAATACAGAATTCACATACATACCTAGGAACAAAAGATACAAATACAGACCAAACAGAGAAAAGAATGGACTAGTGCTCTGGCCAACAATGAAAATATGCTCAAGAAGTCAAGTTATCCATGAAATGCCAACACAAAAAGGACCAGTAAAACCTTTGACTGGACACAGAAACACACCAACATACAAACATATATACAGGTATTATAAAAACCTTCATGTAAATATATACTCTGAGATAGACCTTGCAGTGTATCTTTGCAGCTCATCAGAGAGATCTCAA